TGGCTGCATACCTGAGGAACAATGTTTTTGTGCCTTCTCTGATGTTTTTTGTAATGATTGGTTCGTTGAACGCACAAAAGGCAGACTTAAAAGCGATTTGCGCGAAAGCCAAAAACCCATCCTTCTGTTCGACCTACATGAAATCCAACCCAAAGACCTCGGGTGCTGACATTCAGACGCTTGCAAAGATCACCTTCGATTCTGCACAAACAAGTGCGTCAGGAGCTTTAACGAACATTCAGTCTCTAGCCAAGAAAGAAACTAACCCTACTCTGAAGAAACGATACACCGCGTGCGTAGAGCAGTATAAGAATGCAATCAGCAATCTCAACGAAGCTAAGCAGAACCTAGCGTCACGCGATGGACCAGGGTTGAACATCAAGGTTTCAGCAGCTATGGAAGGATCAACAACATGTCAAGACGGGTTTGCAAATCTTAAAGCTGATCCTTCGGCTGTGAAGAACAATAGTGATTTCCAGAATATTTGTGGCATTGTTCTTGTCATCTCGAACATGATGTGAGAAAAGGGCTTGATTCATTCAATCTCCCTTCATACTCTCATTACACGATTACATCAAATCATTTTACATATAGAATAAAAAAGAAACCTGGTTTCTTCGAACTTGCTTTAATATTAGACGATTTACCTCTACTGATACAATACAAGAAATTTCAGAGACCAAGAAGTATTCGAAATCAAACACTTCATTATCAAATGATCGTTTACACATCAACTCTTCTAATACAACATACAGAAACAAAGAAAGAACAACGCAGGAACCCCAAGGGCGTAGTAATATACTTTATTGAACATGAAAAAAGAAGATGAAAGATGACAAGAAACTTGGTGGTGCAAACAGAATCAAAGATGCACAGAGGTAGGCTTGTAGTCTACAACCAAAACTTTATCCAAGCTACCTAGAAACTTTGTTGCGAATTCGACGTGAACAGGATGAGCAATGTATTCTCCTACACCTTCTTTACTCTCAAATGTGGATTCAAAGATATGTGTGAAACCTTGATGCAGATTCTCAATGCTCACATCTGTTCCCCTAAAATATTTATACATTCAATTACAGAGCCAATAAATATCAGTAAGAAAAGAGCATATTCTTGCAAAATTTATCGATTTCTTTACAAAAAAGATCATGAATATTGCTACTTATTATCTCAGTTTCCTCCAATTACTGGTTACAATAACCTTTTCCAAAACCAAATTTGGATCAATTAAGCGTAAGTCTAAAGCAGATTGTTCGATCATGACAGTAACAATCAGATCTACGAAAGTGGGAATGAGCATGGATTTACCAGTGGAAAGCTTTCATAGGTTCGATGAGATTGACGAGGTTGGCGTAACCATTGATGAGTTCTTCGATTTTCTCTGGAGTTACGTCATCTTTGAACTTAGCAAGCAAGAGGTGCTTCACAGGTCCCTTACCTTCTTCCTCCATTTTTCTCGATACTTCTTTCCT